AGGCCCCCCTCGGTAAAGGAACCAGTAGAGGAAGCCACAGCTACAGCAGTGAGAGCTGCGTTCTTAAAGGAGCCGACAGAGAAGGTGGAGACGACGTCGGCAACACGACTAGAGAAGGAACTGGCTACGGTTCCGGTAAGAGAGCGGGCGGCGTAGCCGGTGAGGAAACCGGCTGCGGACCCGGCGAGAGGGCCGACAGACGGGCCGGCGGAGGAACTGGCAGCGGACACAGTGAAGGAGAGAACGCCGGATATGAGACTCCCATAGAGCGGGAGCCACGGGCCCGGAGAGTAGACACCCGGGGGAAGTCAGTGGCCTTAAGACACCTGACAAACTTGGAGCCAGGGCAGCCCGTCGGTCGGGGCTTAGGCACCCGGGTCAGATCCCGGGCTAGGCGTGGTAGAAGGGCTTGACTTTCTGTTGTGTTGTTCGTTTTCCTTTAGGCTCTCTCGTTTTGTGTTGCGGTGGCCTCGGGTCAGTATAGGCTAGGGGCAGCAGGGAGTCAGGGGGGCGAGACCCTCAAGGGAGATTTCAGCCTGGGAAGCTTGGGTCCCGGGGCAAACTAGAATGGCCGCCCGAGTGAAGGCAGCTCGAGAGCGCCTGGTCGAGCAGAGGCAGGCACAGCTTATTTTCTAGTTTGTACAGTGCAAGTTCAGAAACACCAAATCCTGAACCAGGGAACAGTCTTTGTCTTTGGACATGTTGTAATAAGATACACAACTGAATAAAATAGCATTAAGGTTACAAAGTAAAGCATTCAGGTTAGGAAATATCAGAATTAAAAAAAATTATGCTTCCCCCTGTATTATGATACTGCCTTTGACTCTATGACCATATACTATTCTATTCACAGGATCATCACCTGGTTTAGCATACAATATGGATCGTTTCCCATTTAGCTTGAATTATCTGACTATATTTAAACCAGAATGAACATTAGCAGCTATTAAATCTATTTTTCCAATACTAAAAAGTCAAGTTAATATTAAATGGCAACTAAGTGAGACATTGAATACATCTAATTAGCAACAGAGGATACTTAAAGGTTTAATTTTAACTTCATTCTCATTTTATCCACTTTATTTAGAATCAGTTCTGCTAATCTAACTCCAAAAGCAAGGCAACACAGAAGACTGGCTAAACTGGATCATTCTTATCTTAGTCAGATGTTATCTTTAGATGTTATCAACCATGGGCGACAGGTGCCTCCTGAGTCAGAGGCCAGTCAGCGACCATACCCAAATGTGCCCACCGGGGGGGGGGAGTCCCCCCCGAGGCCGATCACATTGGTCCGGACATGCCAGGGGCACTTCTCCTGGCACCCCTACTCCCTGGCTGGTGCTCTCAGGGGGGGCACCAGCACGCCCACCTGCCTGTTGCCTAAGCGGGGAATGTTGGCTGTTAGGGGGTGCATCAGTGCTGTCAGGGGGTGCACATGCACCCCCATGCACTACCTACATGTCACCACTGTTGTCAACAGATTTCAATCTGTATACTTCAGCCATATCTTAACTAATGTTCCACTGAGCTCACTGGAGCTAGGACAGAAGTTACACAAACTGGTTTAAGTGATTGGAAACTGGTTTAAACCTGTAACAGAACATAAGTTCAGTGCACATAAACCAGCTTCAAAATGGCCAAAACTGGATTAAGATAAATCTGGTTGAATGTAGTATCAGACAGTTTATGCAACTTCTGTCCTAGACCCATTCCTGGTTTAAGTTAAACCAAAGTCCGCCAGCATCCCAGCAGGCTCAAACATCCCACATACCCAGCAGAGGATCTGAGGCTGGTACCACCGAAGTGCACTACTGTAACGCCTGAAGGAACCGCTTGCCAGATTCTATTGCAAGGAAGAATACTTGTAATAAACTTATGGATTACTATTACAAGTTCACTTGATACCAAATTGGATGAGGGGTCGTGTCAAACCTTGGGGGTCTCTGGTAAAAGGAATATTAGGGGCAACACCCTGGGCTCCTCAAGTAGAGGGGAAGCCAAAGAATCCTCTCACTAGTGGGAAGATTAAAACCCCATGAAAACTAAATCCAGTGTACTTCCTCTATAGATTTATGGTCCAGTTGTAGTCAATTATCTTTGGTTGCGGTTCTTTCCCTGCCTACTCTAATTTTGTTCCTTGCTTTACCTCCTTACCCCACACAATCATGGGGGGGGGGGGGGGGAGTTAAATAAAAACAAAACAAAACAAAAAGCTTTCCTGATTGTAATTAGTGTAGCTTTTATTTAAATTTGACATCATTATATATTATCACTCATACCCACTTCTCATTTCTTTTTCCAGGACCACTTCCCTCTCACATTTTCAGCCTGACAAGGACTTTCCTCTAGTCTTTGCATGTCTGCTAAACTACCAGTACTATAACACCCTTTTTCCAATGCAATAGCCTATCACCAGAGAGTGAGTGGGTAGAGAAAAGTCCTATGCATGACTTCCTATGGAGGAGAGGCTTTAAGCTAAGAGGATACATTATTTCCCCAAGGCACAAGGATGCCCATTTCCCCTTCTTTAGATATGCTGAATATTCCAACAATTTTAAGATTCCTTGTTTTGCTCACCACAGCTGTCTGAATACTAAAAAAAGCAAAAGCAGCAAGTTGCAAGTGTGTGACCATGTCATCTTCCAGCAACTGCAACCTATGAAGGACATACACCATACTGGAATACAAATTGTGATTGCAACCTGTAATGGAGGTAAGCCACATTAGTATACACGTTGCTACACCAGCTTACAAATACATTTAGACAATAACTTACTTATTAAGTTTCTCCAAGCTCTTTTGGGCATTATGTCTCTCTCTCTCATATGCATTTTCTACCTCTTTGAACTCTTTCTTGATCATTTCCAAATCTGAGAGAACTTCTGCTTGGCTGGCTTTTTCCACTTGCAAAGCCCCTTCAAGGTCTCGAACCCTTAACTGCCAAATGTTAAGAAAGTAATTAAAGCAAGTTGGATAAAAAGTATTATTAATCTTCAATAATGTTCTATTTTGCTGTTATAGTTTAACAAGAATTATTCTGTAGGACATTCGTATGTATGCACATAGACAAGGAAAGCACTGAACACAGACAACACACACAAGGACATGACTACATAGAGGGAAAACAACAGACTAAACCACAACAAAGTTTGTAACTAAGGAGAAGGTGTTTCTACTACACTTTGGTTAAATCTGTATTTTTTTAAAACATACTGGTAAAGTTTGTCAGGAAATTTCTACGTTTTACGTGAACGCAATACTCATGGAAGTGTGGGATTAATAGAAAAGGTCAGAGTTCCACAGAATGCAGAGATATATGAAAATTCTATATGTATTAACTAAAAAGACTTCAGTAGCTTTTGCTTGGTAGACAGACTGACAGGGAAAAAAAAATCTCTAACAGCAAAATAATTTTGCCCTCTGAATTCCTTTATATTTTGCAGAAAGAAAAAGAAAAAACATTTAAGGGCCATGAGAACCAAAACAAAACTGCTTGCAAAGTGACAGTTGTTAATCTGTTTTCATTCTATATGTTGACTAAGATATAAAACATAGCTAATAGCAAAAAGCAAGTTAGATTTTTAGCATCAGTTTAAAAAATAAGAAGTGTTAAATGTCCTTACCTCTTATTTTAATATAGGATCATTAAAATGACAGTTTATTTTTTTCCATGTTTTCTCTTTAAAATACATCGAGATTAACTTAACTATATACATGAAAGATAAAAACAGTTCTCTCTTACCAATCAAATCTAAAAATTTCAACAATATGTACTATGCTTGCTCACAAAACTACTTTTCATTGCTATCAACCAAATCCTGTAATCTTGTCAGAAGTTGAAACAAGCTCTTGGAAAAAGCATCATTTTCAGGCAAAAAATAAAAGAATTACAATTGCCCCACCATGAAACAGTTGAACAAGAGCTTTCAAAACTTCATCCACTTCTATTGATAATGCCTCACAAAATATAATTATACAGTATTATAATAGTAAAGCAATAATTTAATACTAAAAGATTCCGTCTAAATAGGCATTGGGTTTGTTTTTTTTTAAATACAATTTCTGATTATTTTGATCTGCACTGTAGACCTGGCCAGTCTTCAAATGCTTTCATATATTAATTCTACAGTCACTCTCAGCCACCTACAATACTAAGACCCAATTTGGTAAAGAAACTTATGCATAGGGTTATCCTTAGCACGAGAGTCATTCTATTGAACTGGAATTTCTCTCCAAGTTAAAGGTTTACAAGAATTTTTGTGGACTTGTGGCTTTAGAGCTCTATCAGCTGTTCCACCATGAACTTCAGCAACTTAGCAAATATTTGACACTGGTTTACCTGAATGATTTCAGAACTGAATTTGGATTCCAGATGTGCTGCTCTCTCTGCTTCAATATTTTCTTCTAATGTCTTTATTCTCACTGTAGCTGCCTAGAAAGGAGTTTAAGTTAAAAACAAATGTTAAAAATAGTTTTATAAAATGGTTCTTAAAGTGTGTGTGTGTGTGTGTGTGTGTGTGTGTGTGTGTGTGTGTGTGTGTGTGTGTGTTCTAAAAGCCTGAGTCTGTTTGCAACACTTTATTCGCACTGATTGGCTGACAAACAGTCAATAAGAGTGAGAAGCATCATTCGGACAGGTGGCAGCCTGCTGCCATGATGGTGGGGACACAGGGGATGGAGTGGGGAGGGGGGGGTGGGAGGCAAGGCCAGCACAGCTCCCTGCAGGTGGCGACCATGGAGCGGTGATGGGGTGCAAGGCCACTGGCCTCGGTTCCCCACCTCTTGCTCCTAGGAGGTAACAGCAGCAGCAGCAGCATGGGGGGCGGAGGCTACTGGTGCTGGCCTCGGCCCTCTCCTGCCCCCTTCAGTCGTTGCTACCTGAAGGGCCTGCTGCAGCAGCGGGAAGGGTGGAGCAGGCCCACACACACTCCTGCCCTCCCCCTGCTGCCGCATCGGGAAATGGGAAAGTGGTCCCAGACCCCCAGCAGAAGGGGGGTGGGGAGCGGGCCCGGGCCCAGCACGGGGGGGAGAGCAGTGGGCCTGGGCTGCTGCAGCCTGATGTGGCAGCAGCTGGGGAAGGGGAGAAGTGAGCCTCCTCCTCCCCAACCAGCTTGGGCCCAGGCTTACTCCTTTCCCCCCACCCCCGTCAGCTCTGAGCCCACTCCTCCCATTCCCCCACCACTGCCAGGTCAGCCAGGCAGTGGGGGAGCAGACCCAGACCCCAAGCAGCAAGAAGAAAAGGGGGAGTGGGCCCGGATTGGGGGTGGGGGGGTGGGGAAGAGACATGGGGCTCCGTCCCCACCTGTTCTCCCCCCACCCCATTATTCTTGACAGGCAATTGGCTAGTATAGCTGTATATATGAATAGATATAGATACAGAGGCATACATAGATATATATGCATCTATATAGATCTAGCTATATATACATGCACTTGTGTGTGTGTGTGTGTGTGTGTGTGTGTGTGTGTGTGTGTGTGTGTGTCTTTTCCACAGGCAACGCCAGGGGGGTACTGTGGTGTGCCTGTATCCACCTTTTGGACTACAGTGTATAAGCAGCAGCTGGAAACATTTTTTAAAAATCTCCAAAGCAGGCAAGAATTCCTTTCTCTCTGAGCTCACCAGTACCTCCCTTCCCCGCTGCCTACCACTGCCACAGTCACCAGCTGACATGAGGACTAGAGGAGTCCCAAAGCCACTCCTGGCCTGCTTCTGCTGGGCTGTGATGAAAGCTGGGCTCAGCCAAGAACAGCAGCAGGCAGGTTTCTTCCTGCCTAGTCTTCCAGAGTGTTTCCTGACAGCCCCTATATCGCTCAGGAGGGTGAACCTACCTGCCACTACTGCTACAAAACTTAGATCTCAGGATACTATGAATTGTAGTTCATATGAACTATTTTGTGATGAGATATTTAAGACACAGGGATGGGATGCAGACTATGGGATTTAGTACATGGATCAGGGACAGGGATAAGCAACCTACAGCTCATATGTCAGATTCAGCCAGCCAAACAATTTCATCCAGCCAGTGAAGCTGGGACATTGACAGCAATTTGGTGGCACTGGGAATAAGGCTGGAAATAGACATCCTAGGTGGAGCACTATCAGCTGTGCTGCAATATGACCCCCATGTTGCACGGCAGGTGGAATCCCCCAGAGGTTCCACCCCTGTGCTTGCAGGCCCTCAGAGCACCTACCCAGGTTGGTGGGAGACTGCATGCAGCTCAGGCTGCTTGTATTCTTCCACCAGAGGTAATAGACACCGTCTGCAAAGCAGTAGAGTCCATTACAGGGGTGGGCAAAATATGGCCCGCTAACTGGATCTGGCCCACAGGTGGATGCCTGCAAATCGACTGCATCTTGCCCACAGTTTCTCCCATAGCACTCTGTATGAGATCAAGCCCCGCCTGCTCCTGACAACAGCTCTGGTCTTGACCACCATGCACAGCTTCCTGGTGGGGCTGCTCCTAGTGCAGCTGCAGCCACCTAGGTACTCAGTTTCCACTGCCCCCGCCCCAGCAGCTCCTCCTGCACTGCTCCAGGAAGCAAGCAGCACAGGGAAGTGACAGTGACATCCATGGTAATCTGTGCTGGGCATCACATGCCCAGCCAGACAAGGGCAGTTCCTGCCCCAGTGTGCAGCAGCCACCCAGCTTCCTTCCCCACCTGGCTAGGCATATAGTACCCGGCACACATCCCCAACAGCCACTGCTGCAACTTCCCAGTGCTACCTGCTGTCCAGTGCAGCACAGCAGGGGCAGGAGAAGGAGCCACTGGAGGGAGGCCACACCAGGCAATGAGAGCCACCCCGCCAGGAAGCCGTGTTCACTGGCCAGGGCCAGGACCAGGGCCAGGGCCAAAGCCGTTAGCAGCTGCAGGTGGGAGTGAGGCATGGGCAGGAGCAGGCAGGGCTTGGACCCATGCAGAGCACCATAGGGGCAGCTGCAGGCCGGATGGGACAGGGGAGGGTGATCTGCACCTACACTGCCCAGGCAAGCTCTCCTGCATACACGCCCTACCCCTACCTCCCTGCCCTCATCCCCCCAGCTGCATCCTAGGGCCCATCCTGTGGACGGCATCCTACACACATGGACACCCATCCCCCACCCCCTCATTCTGCCCCCCACACACACTATATACAAGAGTAAGACCTTATTTTGAGCTATTATGTTATTGCCCCTATATACACACTACTCAAAATATCATAAATCAGGACATTTTTTTAAAAATAAAATTAAAATATGTTATAGTAGATGTTTGATTTTTAGTAGGATTTTTTTTTTAATCTATCATTTGTTAAAATACCTTCTGAAAGATTGTGTGTGCAGCCCTCAACAGGTCACCAAAACTAGTTAATTGGCCCACCAGCTGAAATAATTGCCCACCCCAGGTCTATTACACCTTTTGTCATGCTCCGATTTTCCTTTGCTGTGGCGCAACAAAAGGTAGTGATGTCTATTTGCTAACCACTTGTGCTGCTATAAAAAATTTTGGGTGGCACAAATGAGACACCAAGCACTGTCTCTTTCCACCCTAAGGGGCACTGGCAGCTGGAAGGTGGTAGGGGAAAGGGAGGAGAAAAGAAAAAGTTGCAGACAAGAGAAATAAGTGGTGGCTCACCTTCAGACCAAACTTCATTCTTTTGGCCTACTACTCCTAAAAGATTACAGCTCCCTAATCTAGGATACTTTGATTCCAATCAAGGCAAGGAGAATAATTTTCTGTATCTACAGACAAGGCTATATCATGGTACTGTGAAACCTATGTGGTATTTCCATATATTATTTTGGTTCAAAGCATTATTATAGCCACCACCCTTGGTCTGTGATCACTGCATGCTTTTGTGAGGAGATCAGCAGAATGGTGTCTGTCTTCTTTTAACAGATACCCTGGTTAGTTTAAAGCCACAGCCACAAGGCATTTTAATTCGCAAATTAATATCTGTGTATACATATGCAGCACATTATGGTCAAGTGTTAATGGTGTTTCCTATTTTCAAACATTCATAACTTTACTTCTAATATTTTTTCTTCAGAATACAGCAAAATACATTAAATATCATGACAAGCCATCTCTCTGCCAAGGGTCTACTTTCAAAATCTGTACAGTTAGAAGACTAAAAAAAAAAAAAAATGTTTTTTTTAATAAAAGAGGGGAAGAAAACATGCATAATATTTAAGCCCTGTATGATGACTCAAAACACTGAAATAATTTATTTTCCTCTTCCTTAAGCATAAAGCTACCATGCAATCATCTTTCAGGCAGAGACGAAGCAATAGTGCAAGAGTGATATGGTATGATTTCTAGACCATAATGGATGCAAGAGGCATGGATTTCTATTACACCAAATTCAGAGTTGGTCCAATAAAAGATGTCAACGATTTGAACAGAAGATTTTTTTTCAGTCATTTATCTTATGGAACCCTAGTATAATAGAAATTGATGTGCAACCTTAACTACAGTGTTTTCCACTGTTACTAGGTCTTTCACTTAGAGTAATAATAGAGCTGAGCAAAGGAAAAAGCTCTGCAACTGCTTTGTGGCCTAAATTCAGCCTTGATTCAGGGAGATTAAGAAAAAGAATAATCAGAGAGTGCCCTATAACCTAAACACACAGAAGATCACATAACAGTATTCATTGTTACAGATTCTGAAAAGCTGATACTAAATATATTTGACTTCCTCTTGACTCAGAATATTCAGGATCATCAGAAGAAACTGCATCATTAATGGGTATTTCAGAGAACTGCTCAACTTCTCTGTCAAGTGAGGGAAAAATACTCCCAAAATGTTATTCCTTCATATTTGCCTACTTCAAGCAATCAAAAAAACAGAAAAAAGTAAAGAGCACTCCCTGAAGCTGGTGTCTGTAGAAGTCTTAACGCTCTAGTAGAGCACTGCAAGTGAACAGCTTTCTAAACCTACTGCACAAAAATCTACAAACCATCTACAAACCATAGGGTCAAAACTTATCTGTGCCCAGGCGTTTTGTCTTATTTACAAAGAAATGTATAAATCACCAGAACATTATCTTTCTCCCCAGGCTTAGATATTCCTATATTACATCCTCTCAGACAGTTCATTTCAGTCCAGGTGTTTGATGGTCACTCTTCAGACACTCCTGTCTATCTAGTCTAGAATGAATGAGTTGCCTACTACAGTGAGGTAGGAGAACTTTTTCTTGCTGGGAGGTGCCAAAGAACATCTGATAACAGGATGCTTTCAGAAGAGAACATTGCCAGTCTAATAAAAAGCATTAAGAATAGCAAATACAAGCCATCTGGACTGCAGTTTTCCCTTGAAGGAATTTAAACAGTCACCATAAACTAAGTCCAGCTTCAAAACAAATTGTTTGGTTAAAAAAGAGGGAAGGGAATACAAAACACATTACAAATAGAAATTCCAATTTAAACAAAGTTTTCCACTATTATTTTTAC